GTATGGCTCCATTCTAGCACCAATTCATAAATCAAATTTCTGCTCCCCAAATTCTCACTAACTCATGCAAATAGCTGGTAGTGGTCTTTCGTAGTTTCCTCATCTGCTACCTTCAATCAAATCCCAGTTATGGTTTGTCCTATTGCCCACCTTTATATTCGATGGAGCGACAGTCATGCATCAGCCATTTGCCATTTTTGTTTGGTTATCTCATTGCTATTGCATCATTGCTGACCTGAAATTTGCTTGTTGTGCAGTCCTATGTTCCTTGCACTCTTTCATGTTTCCAATTCCGTCTGCCTCAGTTTGGTTAGGATGGCTGTCATTTATCCCATGTTCCCTCAATACCCATGCTCTACGCGTTCTCATGCCGTTTGCACAGTCATCCGTGGCCCTCCAACTACATGCTGCATGCACGAACACCTGCTCATCCGCTACTGCTCACCTATCATTTTATAATCCTCAATCATGCATCACCCATGAATATTCCATTTTGGTTATATAATCACAATTTCTATCTGCCAATTCTCTATCTGCTGGTCCTGGGACATATTCTGCTGTATTCATTTATTCAAGTTGGCCGTAATTTAATGCAATTTTATTGGTTTATTTCCTTTACCTCGTTCGCCTGATCTCTCGCTCATTTACATGGTCTTCGGGACCTCACGCAAATGCACAATCACGGTTTGTGGGACCTCATGCTGCATGCACTAACAACCTCGGTCTTCGGACCTCATGCAAATGCTCTATCATGTTCTGTGGGACCTCATGCTGTATGCACTAACAACCTCGGTCTTCTGACCTCAGGCAAATGCTCTATCATGTTCTGTGGGACCTCATGCTGCATGCTCTTACACCCCAGGTCTTCAGAACCTCATGCCAATGCCCCACCATGGACTGTGGGACCTCATGCTATATGCTCTGCCTCCCTCAGTCTTCAGAACCTCATGCAAATGCCCCATCATGGCCCATAAGAACTTATGCTGTACGCCCTAACACCCTCGGTCTTCGGACCTCATGCAAATGCCCCATCATGATCTGTGGACCCCATGCTGTATGCTCCAACACCCTTGGTCTTCGGGACCTTATGCAAATGCCCCCGTGGTCTGTGGACCTCATGCACCACACCAAGGTCATTGGACTGCCTCAGAATGTTTCCCCTGCAACACTTAATTTTCTTTGGTCAGAGGGACCCACTTAATTTCTGTTTTGTAATATCGGACGTAATTTATGTTTGGTCATCGGACCTTATTTTAATTTATCCATTTTATTTAAGTTGGTCTTCTGACCTTAGTTTCTGTTTGGTCATGTGACCTTTTATTTTGTTCAGCCTTCCGACCTTTTATTTTGTTCTACTGATGGTCTTTAGGACTCCAGCTTGTGCACCCAGGTCTACGGGACCTCATGCTTATACACGGTAATTTATTTTCGGCCGACGGGCCATAATTTCTGTTTGTCAAGATGACTTTAATTTCTTTTTGGTCGCAGGACCTTATTTAACTTTCACCATTTTATTTGAGTTGGTCTTATGATCTTAATTTTCGTTCGGTCTTGTGACCTTTTATTTACGTTTGGTCTTTATTGATCTTTTATTATTTTCTGCATACATAGGCCCAGGTCACTATGACCTTGCACCAGTCACGTTAATTTCAGTTTGGTCATCAGACCTTTAATTTCTGTTGCTATCATGCTGAAAATTGCTGACTTTAATTTATGTTTGGTTGCCCCACCTTTGCCTTTAGTTTGCATTATCCTAAGTTTGGTCTTCTGACCTTAATTTACATTTGGTCTATGATCTTTCATTTCTGTTGGTCCTCGCTGACCTTTTATTTCGTTCAACATATAGACACCATGGCCTCCAGAATCATGCCATCCCAGCCTTCCCTCTGCTATATGACCTCATACCCTGGCACTGCCATTTCACCCTAGCTTCATCTCGGTGGTTAGATCTATCCAAGCCTCCCTCTGCCACTTCCCTTCCATGCTCATCTCACATCCCCTGTTTTCTAGATAGCAGCTCCCCATTTGTTGTCCCAGTCTCATCCTGACCATATGTTCTCATCAAGGTTAAATTACCCCATTCAGGAGTCATGCAGGTTTTCAAATCTGTCCTTTCACATTCACTGCCTCCTCGTTTCAGTTCGTTCATGCTTCTTCTGCAATGCATTCCCTACTAATCTTATCTGCTTGTTTTGTTAGAAGCTTGTTGCCTCCCGGTAAGGTAAGGATTGTCTCACGTCATACGGTTTGTCGTCCTTCTCACTCCTCACACTGTTTTGGGAGGTTCCCTAATTGGCTACGGATCCATCACCCTCCTTATAATTCACCATCTCAAAGGGGACTAATCGCCAAAGACTTTTCACATTTTCACATTCCATTCTCATGTGCATTTGTAATTAAATATTTTCTTTCCTAACCAAAAACATGTCTCTCCTGATTGAAATGAAGCTCAGCGTAAGTTCAATCAGGAAGAACTTTCCGTGCTCATTCATTCACAATTCTCCCTCTCTCACTCCCACTGCTTCCTCCAATCAGCTGCCACCAGGCGTGCACTCTTCTTGCTGTCCTATCATAATTAGCCACGGCCTCTATCAGCCAATCAAGTTGTCACTACGAGATTTTAAATGTGTTCTCTCCTCTGCCGCTTTCAGCTGTCATTCTACACAGAATCGCCGCCCCTCCTCCACCCCGTTCACCTCCAGCCGTCACATCCAAGGTCAAAGATAAACCCAAAGACTCATTCCTCTTCTCATCCGGATCATCAGCACCCATCCATCTGATTCTCATCTCTTCTCCACTTCCTCTACCACCACCAGCGTCTAGACCCCGGGGGGGTTCCCTAATTGGCTACGGATCCATCACCCTCCTTACAGCTCACCATCTCGAAGGGGTCTAATCGCCAGAGACTTTTCACATTTTCATTCTCATGTGCACTTGTCATTAAAAATTTTCTTTTTCAAGACTAAAAACGAGTCTCACCTGATTGAACTATAAATGGTCAAATAACACAGCCACCATCAAGAACCTTTGCAAAGGGCAGGGCTTAGCAGTCAATTTGCCATAACTCATTAACAATTTGTTCAGTCATCATAAATCTTGGCAGATATCTTCAGTATGTGTTGGGAAATAGCTTACCAAAGCATTCTGAGCCTGACCCATAGGTGGTGCCACAAATACCACAAATGTGTACCTCAAAACCACGTGGAGAGAATCCCTCCAAATTTGGTAAACATATTTCTGGAGACAAGTATTAACCACAGACTGCATATAATAATGGATGTAGCTGCCGTGACATCACACATTGGTTTGCAGACAGCTGTTTTGAAGTCTCAATTTCGGCATTGCAGCCGTCGCCATCTTGGTTTTTTGGAGCCAGAAGTGAAAATATTTGGATGGAAGGGTGGAGCTGTTGAGGAGTGAGGGGTGGATCACGACTGCTAGGCCCTGTCCAAATACCCGCACTTGTGCCCTTGTGCCCCTTAATTGCGCGCTCCCGCTAAGGGGTCCAAGTGCGTAGGGTGTCCCAATTGTCTTCTGTTGTTATCAAAGGGTGCAAACCTGCGCCCTTAATGCACCCCTTCCAAAAGTGCGCATCAGACCTCACTTCCGACAAGTTCGGGAAAGACCTCAGGGTGCAAGTGTGGGTATTTGGACAGGGCCATAGAGTGTAGCATTCCTGCACTTGAATATGCGTAACTTTAGGCCTTAAAGCGGCAACAGATAGGAATCAGGTTTTTTTTTTAGCTTGGCGCCATCTAGAATCAGTGGTGTTGCGTCGCACTGTCGCAACGACCAAATTGACCGTGGAGATCAGAGATAATCAATAAAGTGTAGGCTGTAAAGCCATCTGTATACCTCTATGTATATGTAGAATGAGAAGGTGTGTGGACAGTCTACTAAATAAATGAGTAAAGAGACCGAGCAACAATTATCAGATTTATCTGAAGAAAAAACAAATAGTAATGCAAATAATTATACCAGAATGCACAGTACCAAACAACTCAGTAAATTATACCAATATGCACAGTATCAGTACAAACAGTAGATACGTAAGGGATAATGTATCGTGAGCCGGTGACTGTTGAAAAATAACTCCCGACAGGGGAATGGAACCCCGACGCGCAGCGGAGTTATTTTTCAACAGTCACCAATCACTATACATGATCCCGCTTAGAACATGGCTTACTACTAAAACATTCAAATGTTACAGCTGGCATCAATATTATTAAACCGCTGGCAGAGTGTATTGACAGAGCAGTACCAATACAAACAGCTCACAGTAAATTACACCAATATGCACAGTGTCAGTACAAACAACAGTAGACACAGTGGAATTATACCAATATGCACATGTAAACAGTCCCGATTCTAGAATAAACAGTACCGTATGGAAACGATGCGGCCGGTTGGAGCTCAAATTGAGTGGGAAACAAAGTCCAGTGTTCACAGCTGGGTGTAACTTAGTTTGGCGATGTCCGTCGATAGCTGCCTCCGTGAGAAGAGAACAGAAGGAAGGGAGGGGGGTATCACTGTCTGAGGGCTGCCGTAGAATGGCAACGAGGATGTCAGCCGACCAACACTCGCTACCCGGTCCCTGGTTGCGGCGATTTGCGATGCTGGCCAGCTAGGAGTTAACTAGCAGCCAGTACAGTACAGGGGTCCATGTCATTGGTTCGACAGCCCATTGGTTCGACATCCCATTAGTCCGACTGTCCGCGGTGCTGAACCGCAACTGGCTTGAGGCGAAGCAGGCTCACAGCTTATGTGTTTGTCACTTTCTTTTTCATTTTAACCCACACCATGATCTTTTCCTGACCCTAACCAAGTGGTTTTTGTGCCTAAACCTAACCAGACCTTAACCACAGGGCATCATGATGATTTCGGAACGGACTTCGGAACAATGAGTTTAATATGGTCGGAACAATGGGNATACTGAAAAGAACACTTTATGTGGTGTTGTGTGTAGTAGGCCAGTGTCACCACCAGGAACAAAAGCAAAATCAGTGATATAGAAACCTGCGGATAACATCAGCCACTCTCTGGATCCTGCTGCGTGGGTGGGTCCAGTAGAAAGATTCTGAGTATTCCACACAGATTCCCTCTTTGTGTACTGCGTCCAGGAAAGATGCCATGCCATTATTGCCATAGTCTGAATCTGACCTGACAGCACCTATCCAAGTCCAGCCAAAGTGTTTTACCAACTTGGCCAGAGCGTCAGCCTGAAACTGATCACTAGGGATTGTACTGAAGAAAGTAGGGTACTGCTGCTTATCTGACAGACATGCACAAGTGGCAAAGTGGCTCACCTAAATGAAAACAACAGTGTAATTATTTAACAGGACATAAAAAAATCAGTACTGTGTATTTAACACACAATTTTCCAGAAATCAAAACATTTACTTGAGGAATGTTAAAGGACCCAATGATGCGTGACATGCTGATGGATGGTGTGGACCCAGACTCACCAACGACACCCATCACCATACCAGAGTGTGAGCAATTGTCACGGGGGTAAAACACTGTGTCCAGGCTGCTTGAAAGTTGGAATGCCACATGCACAGCCACAGGTACTGAGGCACATGAGTCATAGATCTGATACCCAAGCTTGATGCCAGGAAGCAGCTCTGTGCTGTTGTTAATCTCCTCGATGGCAAATACCATTGCACGTGCAAAGCGCAGTTCACGGGAGAAAATGCTGCAAACACTCTTGTCATTGTTCAAACTTCAAAAAGGACACTTCACAATTAAGACAGAAATACATAATATAGGAGAACTGCAATGCATAGTTATGAGCAGTAACTTATTGCTGCATGTGCCTCTTTAAAACAAATACAGACCTACATTAAAGAGTTGCCTGAACAACAAAGATTAAAACACAAGGATAGATATCAGTCAAAACTCCACATGAACTGTAAAGTATGGATGAACAATAGTCTATAGTCTTATGTATTCATTCATTCATTCATTCATATTAATTATTACCTTGTTAATATTTCTATCAGTTGTTAAACACACCAAAACATTCAGAGAATAAACACAAAAAAAGTTTTTTGTTCATATAATCTCCTAATCTTTACTATTTTTGTGAATATAATACTTGAAGTTCATACAGAAAATATAGAATTGTGAAAGCATATAAATTCTTTGCTTTAACATTTTCAGTACAAAAACTTTGTGGCACAATTGTCAGGTCATCATGCAAAACATTTCATCTCCACAGTCTAACATACTCTTGTCCTCCACTTCTCACTGTTACTCACCTCCCTGTGCATCTTAGTGGCTCAGGCATGGTGGTGTAGTTGTGCTTCACTGAATGCATGTAGGCATGCATGGAGAAAACACCCCCAATAACGTAGTCACCATCCATTGAGAAGGCAGGTAGACGAGTGGTACCCTGAAGCTTACACTTCACAGATGAAGCCTCAGTGTTGAACGCAGCACCAGTCCTAACCTCTTTAAACCCAACCTTTTGTTTCATATGATACCCAGAACCATTCAAAGCAAGAGCTGAGTTCAGCTCACACAGACCAAGAGACAGCATCAGGCCAATAAAGAGAGTGGGGATCTCCATCCCTCAACAGTCTGCATGTGATCGTACTGTGTGTGTTGACATTAGCTTATATAGATTTTCAGACAAATAATTACCTCATCCTACTTTACGTCATCTTACAATACAGCAGAGAGAGGATTCTCTTACCAGAGGTGGGGGACTCATGTCACAGGACTTGACTCGAGTCAAGTCCCACGCTACCACAGCTCTGTCCCCCTGCCCAGAGCTCTCCTTGGAGGAGTGGCAGTATGTAGCGACATCATGGACCTCACCATGTGCTTTTATTCAGTTCTGTCTGCGTGATACATGTGTGTTCAGTATTGAACATGCTTTACAACCAACGGCACACTGTCAGCGCTGGGCTGTTATGCACACACAGTCACTACTGTGAGAGCCGATATGTGTGGCAGGCTCTCATTTGTATGAGGTTTTGATACTGCCACAGTGTGTAACAACTGTTGCTGCCTGCTGACCTAACATAAGTTCACTGTGAGTGTGTGTGCGTTTGTTGCGCGCATCTGTGTGTCACGCCAGTTTCTCCAGTGACTTTTTTCAGCCTTGCATTTGTGGATTTTAACAGTGTATTATTATATTGCCTGCTCTCTCACAGCAGCAGGTACGTTATGTGAGTGGAGTCTTTCACCCTCAGAGGGTTCGGAGCAGAAGAGGCAATATTTACATCCTATACTCTCATAAAAGTAACTAATACCACCCTGTAAAAATACTCTGTTACAAGTAAAAATCCGGCATTTAACATGTTACTTAAGTAAGTATTATCAGGAAAATGTACTTAGAGTATCACAAGTAAAAGTACTGTAAAAATGTCCCCTGTGACTGTTGTAGTATACTACTATATATGATCTTATTACATGATTCTGACTCATGCAATAATTTGAAGCAGCATTTGACCGTTGTAGCTAGCTGAGGTGAAACTGATTTTGAACTATTGAATATGATTATTTTTATTATGGCTGTTGATTATTTACCATTAATCTATTGGTTTGTAAAAATTATACTTCTACTTCTAATAAAAAAGGAAAAACAGCAAAAAGAAAAAAAAATCCTCACATTTGTGAAGCTGGAACAATGTTTTTTTTTTTTGGCAAATTAATTTTGGCAAATTAATTTTTTGTCAAGTCAATAACTGACTTATAGTTCCAGCTGTATTTGTACATTTTCATATGTTTGGAGTGCAAAATCTTAATTTTAAAAGTAACTAGTAACTAAATCTGTCAGATAAATGTGGTGGAGTAGGAGTAGAAGGTGGCATGAGAAGAACAGACTCAGATTTGTACTTAGAGTACCCGAGTAAATGTATTTAGTTACATTAGACCACTGGGTGCAGTTTATCTCATATTATCATGATGGATTTGTGAGTATGACTTGACTGTGACTTGCTTGACCCCACCAATGACTTGACTCGACTTGTTCGACTTATGGCAAAGGCTCAACTTGACTTTCAAGCTTGATTTTCACCACGGTGACTTGGGGCTTGCTTATGACTTGCACATGTGTGACTTACTCCTACCTCTGGATCTTACCCGATGGTCATTAATTTGCTCTTGTCCAAGTCTCTTCTATGAGCTGTATGTACAAAATACAGTAATCTGTACTCAGTCTCCATGTCTCTTTACTCCTCTTGCAAAGTAATTGTGAACACAAGATGTCTTCCTAAGATTGTTCTACACTTTTTTAATGTGGTCTTAAATAAGGCAGATACAAAAATATTATAGATTAATCAATAATGGTATTAATTATTATATTATATTATAATTAGAATTATTTTCAGAAAGAACTCAGCACTACACGTGTATGTTAGGATTTTTGTCTTTATTATTTTAATTTAATTCAATCTAATTTATCAGCACATAAAAAATATTTGTAAAATAACATGCTAACTCACCACAAAAGAAACCAAAATGCTGAATTTAACCTTTTTGTTTCCAGACCTTGGGTGTCTTAGGATTGAATTTTAATTGATAAATGTTTGTTTGTGTTCTCTGGCTTAAACAATATGATGAAACACATTGGAGCAAATATTCTGTTCGGTTACATTGTAACCTTGGTTCTCTGATTTAGGAGATTATCTCCCCAGTAGTTATATCATAACTATGGGAATTATCCCCACCTGGGGTAATCAACATGGAAAATTAATAATCTTTAAGACACACCACTTTACGTGGCCCGCATGCATGCACATGCACCAATTGACTGACATTAATTGGAACGGATACCGAGCGGCCCTGAGACTCACTCAGAGAAGCAAGGGGGAACAAGGGGCCCCAGGAGACAGGGCAGATGCAGGTCCACAGGCCCACCCCCAGCATTCGAATGAGATGCTGCATTGTCTCCACAACCCACTGAGACTCTTCAACACCAGGTGGCTTGGCACTGGGCCTTAAAGCAAACAAAGAATTGGTCTGTCTTTCTAAACACTGCATTGCACCCCACATATACCTTCAGGGCTCTAACAGGACAGAAATTTGAGTCTTCTTGACCCCCACCACCCTCCTTGGGGGGGGCTGTAGGGCTGCAACTCCACTAACTGATTCAAATGAAAGTCTGTGATTACTTTTCGCAGGAAAGCGGGGTTTGGACGCAACATGACACCAGCGTCATCTAGCAGGAACTGACAACAGCTCTCATCCACTGATCGAGCGTGCATTTCCCCCACAACTTTGGCTGATGTCACTGCCAAGAGAAAAGCCACTTTAAGTGACAGCCACTCAATGCTCACTGACTCCAGAGGCTCAACGACACGAGCTGCCCCTGGACCCGGCTGGGTTTGAGTCAGCAACTACCTCCTAGAGGGACGCAGCACGCTGGCAAGGCCAAAACACTAAAGTCATCTCTCTTTTTCCTTTCTGCTCTCATGTCGACTCTGACAGGTGGAAATCAATGAATCATCTGCAAGACAATTATCTCCTGTACAAGCAGCCTTGATAGCTGCCACCATACCTCTCAGGGTCGAAGGTGATTTTCCTGCCTGGAGCAGCCCTGCAGGTACCGGAACACCTCTGGGGCTGCACGTCACTGCATTGATCCGATTAGTTGTGCACCATGATATAAAGAGCTCCCAGCGATAAGAGTATGCAGCTCTCATAGACGGCGCCCTCTCAGGGGCCAGGCCCAAAGCCTGATGGCCTGCGGAAAAGATGGAGCAGGGCCCCCTGTGCCTGACTAAGAAGGTCCTACCGGACCAGGAGCTCCCATGGCCTCCCGGCCAGGAGAGACCATGTAATGTGGGGCCAGGTTGGGGCCACCAGGATCAGCTGCACTTCCTCCCCCTGAACTCTTTGCAGCAGATTCGGGAGAAGAGTGACTGGGAAAAGTGCATACAACAGGCCTTGAGGCCACTGGTGCACCATGGCATCAATGCCCAGGGGGGAGTGTCCCACCCCATAGAAAAGAACAGTGGGCAATGGGCATTGTCTCAAGTTGTGAACAGGTCAGCCACTGCTCTGCTGGAGCGGTACCAGATCTCTCTGACCACCTCCTGGTGCAGCCCCCAGTCCCCTGGACTTGGGTCTCCCATGGAGAGTAGGTCCACCTCCTGGTTCACCAATCCATGCATGGCCCTGAAGGACATGAACCATGTCCATGCTGAGGTCCACAGCCTGTGTGCTATTCTGCAAAGGTTTGAGGAGCCCAAGCCCCCTTGCCTGCTGACATACAGTACAGGCCAAAAGTTTGGACACACCTTCTCATTCAATGCGTTTTCTTTATTTTCATGACTATTTACATTGTAGATTCTCACTGAAGGCATCATAACTATGAATGAACACATGTGGAGTTATGCACTTAACAAAAAAAGGTGAAATAACTGAAAACATGTTTTATATTCTAGTTTCTTCAAAATAGCCACCCTTTGCTCTGATTACTGCTTTGCACACTCTTGGCATTCTCTC